GCTGAAGTCAAAAGCCTCCCAAGATTACCAAAGTGCTTTTAGGCTGTGAGGTTCCAACACTGGCGTCTGGGGTTTCGGTGGCAAGAACACGAGTACAATAAAGGCAGCCAAGGGTCATGCCAGCCTCTAGTGGCTTTAAGAAGCATAGCCCAGAGGAGGCTAAAACGAGGCTTAGGAAACATCATTAATTAAAGAGGCAGGAAAAGCCGGCAAGTGAAATCTCTGGAGCTGAGATTAGCTAGACTAGGGTCTGAATAAGGAAATTAGGAAGCCGAGAGGGATGCAAACTTTGATCACTTCAGAAGTCAAAAGCCAGGAAACGCTCTCCTAAAACAAAGATGGGACAAGGTATTCCATCTATCAGGGATGTCCTGAGTCCTCAGCTCTAGCGGGAAGGCGTGAAGTTGTCAAAAGCTAAGAGTCAGGGCCAGCCCCACACCCCCTAAGCCACAGGTGGCAGGCAGAACACCTCCTTCCCCCCACCCGCCCCCACACACGCGGTGACAGGAAGTATTTGTAAATTCATGAGTGAAGGGGCGCTTCCTTCAACCACCTAAAACAAAGATATAAAATAGTTTCCTGAAGCTTAACACATGTGCCTTACTTAAAGTGCTTACTGTGCCTACTCGGGCAAGAAACAATTTTAACTGCAGAGGCTTTCAACATAAACATCTCTGCCCCTGTCTTCTACTTACCACCCCTCATCTCCTCATCTTCCCATTATAAAGTCAGTAATTCTCAGGGGGAAGGAAGCCGGGGAACACTTGTTCCAGTGCTCCAAAGTGACAGATGGGTAAACCACAGAGGATCCCCTTAAGGCTTTTAAAAAAACTACAGAGCACTCCAACCCCACCTCACCTGGAGAATCACTGCTTGTAATTAGATGTTACTGTTGGGAGTGTCTGGTTCATGTGTGAAGGCAGAGACATGGACAGAGAATTACTGCCATAAAACCCGAGAACCTCAGAAATGTCACAGTTAAGTGCAGTTATTTATTTTACTTTCTCTTATTAATAACTGCTCCTTATCGGGGCGCCTGGGTTGCTCAGTGGGTTAAAGCCTCTGCCTTCAGCTCAGGACATGATCCTAGGGTCCTGGGATCAAGCCCCACATCGGGCTCTCCGCTCAGCAGGGAGCCTGTTTCCTCCTCTCTCTCTGCCTGCCTCTCTGCCTACTTGTGATCTCTGTCTGTCCAATAAATAAATAAAATCTTAAAAAGAAATTAAATAACTGTTCCTTATCATTTCCGAAGTACTTTCACATTTATCTCATTTGAGTTAGAAAACATTCCCTCACTTAGTGGCAACCGTCTACTTCATCGTAAAATAGCACAGGGCAAAATAAAGTTGTTAATGCATCAGGCGAATAACTAAAACAGCCAGCTAAAATGTAATTCGACAAACATACTTTTCCTTGAACAGAATGCAAAGTTTTCTGGAACCTCAAAAGCACTGTATAAATTTAAGAAGGCATTATGATGATCGACTAGACTGTAAACTCCTTGAAGACAAGAAATCATATCCTATCCTGTATCCTTCACAATTCCCTGAACAATGGAGGTTCTTAACCAAGTAAGAGGAATTAATTTATATTCATTTATTTATTAACTCACACACACAGCATTTATTGAATACTGAATTCCCACTCTAGATCTGTGCTGGCACGAATGATTTTTAAATGTGTTTTGAATTTTAGTCCTTAATAACATAAAAGACAATCATCACCATTCCTGTTTCTCTTTTCTTATTCTTGATTATTAATTTGACTGGAATAAGATATCTGTACCTTTCAGTTTTCAAACAATGGGCACACATATAAACGTAGATAATGCTGATATGTCTAAAATTCATTTTCCTTCTACCTTGCCCCAAAAACGATTCTATCACAGTCATTATACTGACAATAACCATATCATTTGACAATCACCTCAGTCACAGTTGCTGGATTGGAGCCCAAGATTTAAAACGTCTCAGCAATAGGATTTTTTCCAGCAAGACCAAGCAGCAACTGACCCTTTGTTTTGACTACTCAACTTCTGTTTATAGCTGTAGCAAATCTGATAGTCTCTCTTGCCTCCTTAAAGAATAAACCAAACATGTTAAACTGTGATAACAACAACATGGTAAATAATATTTGTATAGCCCTCTAGAATTTATAGAGTTTCGCAAACTGAACACCAGCTCCTTTAGACCTCAAGACTCATCTGACAGATGAGAGAATGGGGCTTAAAGTGGCAGAGCTGGGATTCTGAGTCCAAACCCAGGTCTCCTGATGCCCGAGGTCCAGTGCTCTCTTCACCACAGCTGCCTCCTTGCTATGCCCAGACTCAAAAAGTTGTGCAGACTGAGAACATGAAAATAACATTCATGAAACATTATGCTGTGAAACAGTAGATAGTGGTTATCAAAACTGTCAACAGGGTCTCAGAAAAAAAACCAAGCTCTCTGTTTAATGAGACCAAAATTGGCCAGATGTTGAAAAACAAAATGGGCAATAGATGGTATGAAGAACGATTTAATACAGAGTTAAATTCAATGATCACAGAAATTCGATATTCACAAATCCTCAAACACCATAATTTATAACTAGCCCACTCATTCTGTTTGCTTTAGAAATAAAGGAAAAATTTCTAAACATTTTTTCAAAACAGAATTTGAAAAAAACAAAACTATGATCTTGTTCTTTAGTCCAATACTCCATATTATAAACTAAGAAACAGGTATGTGAATTAAAACATTCATTTGATATATGATGCTCCAAAAGGAAAGACAGCTAGAAATATATGTAGGTCTTTGATTAACATCTAACTTAAAAGAATGACAAACAGAGAAGGGTAAACAGATTTGAGAGCTGTTGGGTTTTAATATTTTACAGCAAGGGGCGCCTGAGTGGCTCAGTTCTTGAGTGGCTCAGTTCTTAATTGTCTGCCTTCAGCTCAGGTCATGATCCCAGGGTCCTGGGATTGAGCCCCAAATCAGGCTCCCTCGCCAGCAGGAAGCCTGCTTCTCCCTCTCCCATTCCCCCTGCTTGTGTTTCCTCTCTCCTGAGTCTCTCTCTGTCAAATAAATAAATAAAATCTTTAAAAAATAAAATAAAATATTACAGCAAAACTCTGAATAACTTGTATAGCATATTTACTTTAGAGTAAGAACATTTGAATTCCAAAAGTTCATCACTAAAATAACAGATCTTCACTAGACAATGAATTCACATTGTTCATGTTGATTGAGTGGTTACTATCAAGCAGGTATTAAATTGGGCATCATTTGTCCAAATATAAAGAGATGTCAAAATATAACACATGTAAACAATATGGGATCCCCAGTCTTCTTTGTATAAAAGTATATCATCATATGTTACTGTGACTAGCAGCCATTCAAAGTCCTTGGTCTACAATTCTGTTTAATATGCTTTTTCTATTCTTGTGTCACTATTAAGTTGTTCAAATTGTTTTCAATGGGCAGAAAAAAATCCTTCCTACAGGACCATAGTGTCTTCAATTTGAAGAGACATCCCCCCCCATTAAATCTGTAGGAAATGTTTTTGCTTTTTCACTTTTAGTTTAAATGATCAGGTTTGATTGATTCAGCATGGACTTTGGCCTGTTTTACTGACTGCTGTACCCTCAGAGCTAGAACAGAGCCTGGCACATAGCATATACATTTGTTGAATGAATGAATGAATGATTCCTATGATCTATGGCTCATTACATAAGAATATACTTATACAGAAGGATAAATATACATAAGAACTTTATACTTTGACTTCTTAATGCTTTTGAACTTGAAATAAAGAAACCTCTGATGTTTACATCACTCAGCTGCTTTGTGAAAAGCAATCTTCCATATATGTAAACAAGAGCATGTGCAAGGTATACAGTTATGCTAAGATTTGGTCATTAGCTTGGTGACAACTTGAGTGTTATCAACTACCTCACATATTTCTCTAAATCGTACAGCTCTAAGAGCTAAACTGTAAAATACCACGCAGGCTCAATTAAGCCAAAATGCACATGCTGAGAACTCTCCTTTGTAAATTAATTATTTCTCCACAGAAATCATTTATCAAGGCAAGTCCCATTCAGAATTAACATTCTAAGAAGAACCAGAAAATAACAGGTCGTACACAAGTTCTGCTTAGGAAGCTGTGATTGTCACTAAATTACCCCATGGACCTGTTGGCCTTCTCCCCCTCAGAGCAGTGAATTCAGTTTCTATTTAAAGGGACGCTGTCTTTTTTTTTTTTTTTTTTTCCCGGAAGAAAAAGAAAATTTTGAGTTTGGAAAAAAAAATCCCTTTTAAAAGGTTCGATGAAAACTATCTGCTTAGAATGGTCAAAATAATGTTTGCTTAGAAAATGATCATTCGCTCCTTCTGAGTCTGGAGCGGGGCCACAGGGCATGATTAGGGGGTATCGGCTTTAGCCCGCGGTGCCAAGCCTGAGATCCCGCAAGAGAAGTAGAGGGCGAAAGAAGGGGCAACGTGGCCACCTGCCCAGTCCGCCGGGGACCGTGGGGCCACTGTCTGCTCCCAACTTTGTCAGCCTTTCCTCCTAGTGCATATGGTCCACGCGCCTCCCGACTCAGGCCGGCGACTCTCCGGCCAGAGCGGAACTGGGGGGCCAGCAGAGGCCCGGCGTTCCCGGGAGCGGCCCTCGGGGCCCCCGCGGCGCGGACCAGGGTTGCGGGAGGGGAGGGGGGCTCGTCGCCCCTCCCCACCCCCCGCCCCGGCGGGGCCAGGGAGCGCCCAACGGCGGCTCGGCTGCTTCCTCGGCCAGCGCCCGCCGCGCCCTCCCCGCCCAGCCGGCGGCCCTCGCCACGCCCCGCGCCCCCGGAGCGCACCCCTGCCGGCCGGCCGGAGCCCCCCGGGCTGCGCTCCTCCGGAGAGCCCCCGGCGCGGGCGTGCGGCCTAGTCGGGGTTACATAACGGGGCCGGGCCCCTCCGGAGCCGACCGGGGGACGCGGGGCCCGCGCGGGCGGAGGCGGGGGCGCCGCCGCTCACCTGCCATAGATGCCCTCGGTGATCCGATTCCGCTTTAGGGGGCGGCGGAGCTTACTGCAGTCGGCGTTCCGCCGCTTCATCCTCCCGCTGGGGGGCCGGGTGCCCGCGCCGCCTCCGCTGCCGTCTCTCACCTCGGCCGCCGCCGCCGCCGGCCCGCCCCGCGTCGGGCCTGGACTCTACCCCTGGGGCCGGTCACACAGACATGGAGCCAGCACCCGGGGGGAGGGGGTGGGACGGGGAGGGGGGGCTCAGAGCCTCCTCCGCCTTCGGAAACAAAGAAATGACAATTCCGGGGCCCGCCCGCCCCAGCACCAGCCAGCCGCCTGCCCGCCTCCTCGGCTCCGACGGACGGCCCCCGGGGCCAATGGAAGGCGCCGCTACGCCGCTGCCGGCCAATCCAAGGGCCCGCTGAGGCAAAACGGACTCGAGAACCCGCCTCTTTGAAGGACAGAAGAATGCACCAATCATTATAGCGTCTGTGTGCGTGCCTGGGCCTATCAGAAAAGACTTAAATAGAGGCTTATAAATAGGCCCTATAAATATAACATCCTATATTATGCTTTATTGCGAAGGTACACTTCATGACTGTTGAATTGCGTTTCATTGTATGATAATCCATGCTAGAGCATACCGTGCTATATTCAGTGCCCGCTATCACTAGCACCGTATGAAATAGGGAGGCCTGGGTTTGCGGCATGTGCTGTTTCTGCGCTGACATGTGCTCCAGTCAGTCGCTTCATTATGTAAGGGGCTCGCAGCATCCTCCCCCTCCGGGAGCCTCCAGGGTCAGCGCCGGGGGCCCTTCCTGCGGATCCTGGAGCGTTTGGCCAGGCCGGCCGCGTCAGCGCGCGACGGGGGTACGAATGACAAAGCAAACCCCACACACACATAGACACACACACACCCTGCCAGCTCCCCGCGACGTGGTGACAGGGCGGCGGCCAATCGGAGGAGGTGCGGGGCGGGGCTGCTGCGGTCCCGCCCCCTGGAGTACGCGTCACAGGGGGCGGGGCCGTGGGTGCGCGCGACGTCGCGCTGGGCTGCCGGGTGTGTGTGGGGCGGTGCGACCCTCGCTCCACGTCCGCAGGGCGGGCTGCGTGGCTGGCTCCGCTGGCATAGCGCCTGCTGGACACGGCGAGCGTCAGCGTCGGGGACGTGTCGTGCCGCGCGAGGGGCCCATGCCGCGGGGACTAAGAGCGGCTGCTCCGCGGCGAGGGCCGGGCTTCTCAGATGTTGGGACACCGGCCAGCGACCCCTCACCGAACCTTCCTAGAGCTCCGATTTTGTGCCAGGCACCGTGCTAAGTGCTTTACATATACTTACTCATTTACTCCTCATTATTCCCTTGCAACGTAGGTATGAAAAAAATCACATTAGAAAAGACAGCAAAGATTCTTTTAAAAAGAATGTCATTAAAGAGAACTGGGCAGCTGTCAAAAAGTAGCTGAAGGGAGAAGAAACACTCATGGATCTCTTCACCTTATCACGACCACTAAAAGCATTCTAAATTTTTTCTTTTTTTCCTATTTGCCCCCATAGGTGATATTCTTATTCCTATTGCTGCTATTATTACTGAACAGAGCAGTGATCATACTAGATATTCAACTTGGTGTTCTGTGTGTGTGTGTGTGTGTGTGTGTGTAGATCAAAAGAAGTTTATTAAGTGAACATACAGAAAAAGCTCTCAAAAGTGCGAGGAGTCCCAACAGGGTTGCCACTGAGGGCCTTTAAGGTCCGTCTTTTTGTATTCTGTCCCTTAATGTAAACATTGGCCCATGTTACTATGCATTCTCCCTAAATATTTCTGATGGCTGCTGAATCTCCCATCAAGTGGCTGTACCAACTTAACCACACACCAGCAGTGGGACTGTGAGGTGGTCTTCCAGCACATTTTAAAAACTTCCAGGAAGTAGATGGTTTCTGGTTTTGTCCTGAGGTGGGTGGACCTCTTCCTACCCTATAATTACCCCCAGGAGGAACTTGTAATTTGTATCAAATTCATCATTCTCATCTGCTGTTCTTCTTTGTTTTACCCTGCTCACAAATCTTTAAAGATTCTCCAGACCTGAAAACCATTCTCTTTGTTATGGCATCCAGAGCTGTCACAAGGGTGACCCAGTCTCCTTTTCCAGGCCTACCCAGGCCAGCAAGCCTTATCTACTTTACTGTCCTCAAACCCATTGCAGCCTTATCTTCCCTTCTTCCTGCCTTTTCTCCCACACAGAGCATCTCCCCAGTGCTGCTCCTAAGTCAGTTTCCTGGGTAGGCTTGTTCATCCACCAAGGACGAAAGCTTCTTGGGAGATTGGATCCATATTCTGAAGAGATGCAATTTTGAAAAATCACAAGAGTACCTGCCTTTTCAGACCAGCTTAGCCACTTACTAGCTTGGGCACGTTACAGAATCTTAGAACCTCTGTTTCCACTTGGGCATGCAGTAGGTGACAGCAAACTATTACTATTAACAGTATACTTGTTTTTCATCCCTCACTTCTCTCCAGCATGTTGATAAAGTGGCCCTGCGTGGCCAAGGATAACAAACTCTGTGAGCTCAAACTTCCACCAAGGCTGCCCATCATTGTGAAAGGGTCTGAATGGAACGCTCTGCTTGGAGCAGCAGGAAAAGGCTTCAGCTGCCAAGGTGAATTTGTTCATGGAGGAGGATACAGACAGGACCTAAAAATCAATATGCTGCTGGCTTGAATGCATTAGGAAGTTTTCATGGTAAGATCCTGGCTCCAGACTCCATGGGACCCTAGATCTGAATAGCCATCAGCTCCAGAACCTCAAAGTTCCAGATTACCCGGGCCAGAGACAAACAGCCAGCTCAGTAAGGTTATAACAGGTCCATATCCATGGTCTTTTCCACTCCCCCTTATGTCCCTGTTATCTAGGACAGTGCCATGACACACTGTGAAATAAAGAGGTGAGTAATCCTGGAAAAGATGACAGAGGCGCTGAAGCGCACTGTCTAGCCTACCATCCTGATAAGGACATTCCATGCCATGGGAGAAGCATGGAGTTACTGAGAGTTTACTCTCAAGCATAGGGCTACATGGGAGAAAGAGAGAACAGAGAAAATCTGGAGTTCTGGGTTCCAGTGTTAACTCCCTGGTGTTGAGTTACCTGCATACAGCTGTGCCAAGATCCCCTCTGGAGACCCTTCAAGCCCTATGTTTAGAAGCAGGTCATATTAGCTCCATTTTACAGATGAGAAAACTGAGGCTCAGAGAAAATAAAATTATGCAGTTGGCTTGGTAGAGCAGTTTAGCTCAAGGAACAGCTGAGTGAGATCAAGCTGTGATGCTATAGGTTGTATCTGGTGTTAGTCGGGTGATTGGCTTGAGTGGGATGAGAGAAAGGTCCTCTTGCCAAGAGCCCACAGGACAACTGCCCTTCTCCATTTCGTTCTCTTTCACTCCTTCTGCCCCAGCCAGACCATCTCTTTCTCTGGCCCACCCTAGCCCACACCCCCTTTGGCTCCAATCAAGTGCCAGCCTTTCCCCTCTGAGCCCTCAAATAGCTCTTTGGGATCCTAAGGGCACAGACCTGGGCAGAGATGAGGCAGACCTCCCGCCTGCCACAGAGCACCCCCAACTTCCCATACCTCCACTACCAGTCAGGAACCAGGGGAGATCAGTGGCCATTTTACAGACGAGTAAGACAGGGAAGGGAAATCATTTGTTCTCACTCAAAAGACCAAGACCCAGTCAAGAATTCAGGGCTGTCCCTCCTCTTCTCCTGGGACATTTGATGAGCAAGTGACTGAGATTTGCACTTGAGCTTCACCTGAGCTCAGAATGGCTCAGAATAGCCTGGAGAGTGATCATCACACCCTGTTTCACAAATAAGAAAAACTACATTCCGGGGCACCTGGGTGGCTCAGGGGGTTAAAGCCTCTGCCTTCGGCTCAGGTCATGATCCCAGCATCCTGGGATCGAGCCCTGCATCAGGCTCTCTGCTCAGCAGGGAGCCTGCTCCCTAATAAAATCTTTAAAAAGAAAAGAAAAAGAAAACTACATTCCCCCCCTCAAGCCCATCAGGCAAGGCTGGCCCAGATGCGTTGAACTTGGTTCCCATGCCTCAGGAGTCACAGAAAAGTCCAGATATTGGAATGGCCACCTCTCATACATGTATCTGTGTCCCCTAGAGAACCCTGTTAATGGAGGATATTCATTGTAGTGTTTAGAACAGGAACAGTTTAGAAATAACCCAGATAATCCCACAAAGGGGTCTAGTCAAACAGGGTCACATATTCTTACCACAGAAGTCCTGTGGCATGGAGAATGGTGACGCACAGCCCTTAACCACATACAGTCACTGCTCTAAGCACCATATCCACTTTGATCTCATCCTCACAACAACACCACGAGGTAGGAATGATTACTGATGCCATATTACAGAGGAGAAAACTGGCACAGAGCAATTCAGTTCTTTGCCTAAGGTCACACAATAAGTGACAGAGCCCAGATTCAAACTCAGAAATTCTGGCATCAGAGCCTGGGTTCTTAACCACTTTGATAGAGTGTAGTAGAAAGATTGTCCTGGCTTGGAAATGATTTATGATATACTGTTCATGGAAAAAGCAATTACCCAACAGTTTGTGCTGTATAATCCCATTTTTGTAGGGGAGAAAACAAGGCGTAAATTCACATGAATAGAAAAAAAAAATCTGAAAAATATACAAAAAGAAGTAGAACTGGTTTTTGGAGATATTGAAATCATGGGTGCTTTATGTAAACTTTTTGCATGTCTGCATTTTCAGAGTTTTCTACAGTAAATATGCCAACACTGTGCAATTATAATAATTACGAACATTTATGGAAGATTTTCTACACATCTGACACTTACACACTCTTCCTCATATACTCTTCATGACTGGGGTTCCCTGGGTGGCTCAGCCGGTTAGGCATCCGGCTCTTGGTTTCAGCTCAGATCATGATCTTGTGGGTCATGGGATCAAGCCCCACATTAAGCTCCACACCTGTGAGGAGTCTACTTGAAGATTCTCCCTGTCTGCCCCTCCCCCCATCGCATGCGCGCACTCTCTCTCGAATAAACAGACCTTTAAAAAAAAATCT